GCAAAGGCCAAGGGGGAAGACCCTCCCTCCACCCACACCAGCCTCACAATCAAATCCGAATCCGGATGAACTTCGTGGCCCAAGGCTCAATCCCTTCTCTCCTTTAGCCCAGCGCGTTCTCGAGGAAGGGGAGGAACGAACAGAAAGCAGGAGAGACCAGCCCGGATTCTCCTACGGTTCTCTTTTATTACAGTCGGGCGTGAGAAGGGCGGCTTGGCAGGGAGTTTGGGGAGGGGGGAGGGCTACAAGAGCATGCAGTGGAAAACCAGGCCAGGCCCCCCTCTTATCCTGGGTGACCCGTTTGCCCGTGAGAATAAGTTGCCAACGTTGGTTTGCCTCGGCGGAATCATTGCATGCGGAATCGAATGCAACTGTGAAGAGGGAAAAGGCGGCAGGGGATGGGAGGGAGGGAGGGAGGGAGGAGTGGGGTCTTTGGGGTGGGGGCTACCTCTTAAGTGCATGCTTTAATTACAAAGAGAGGAGGAAGGAAGGGCACCTTCATTGCAAATGGGGGGTCTTTAAATCAATCGGAAAGGACGATTAGTTCTCAGCCAAGTTCATAGTGTACTTACAAAACAGTATTGGGGGGGGAGTTTTGGAGAAAACCGAGGGGTTTTGGGGAGGGGGTTCTTGGTGGGGGGACGGGGCAGAGCAGGGAGGGAGAGGAGCCATGAAGGAAAAAAAAAGGGGGGGGGCCCTTGCTTGTCTCCATTTTTCCCCATCAGGAAGACGGTGAGGCAGAATCCTTTTGAGGGGGGGGGGCTTCCTGCCATCAGACGATGCTTCTTTGCAGAATCCGCGCTCTCTAGAAAGGGATCCAGTGCAGAGTCCGACCGAGGAGGAGGAGGAAATGGATTCGGAGATGCGTCCAGACGCGGCCTTTGGGGCCCCCATCCAGGGGAAGAGCTGCGTTCAGTCGGGCGCTAACCGAACGGTCATTTCTGGCCTGGCGTGAAGCTCTTGTGAACCGGCCACCACCTTGGCTCATGGGGTGTTTTTTTTTGGGGGGGGGGAGCAGGCAACCTCGGTATTTGGGGTTTTCTGCAAAAGGGGCATTCCCTGGTGATGGGCCGCGTGCCGGGCCCAGCAGTGGGTGGGGAGGGCTGTGGGGAGCCTGCTGGCGGTCACTGGTCCCCTTCTCAACCTTCAACTGCTGGGTGTGTGTGTGTGTTTGTGTGTGCCTGTGAAGGTGGAAGGATGGGATGCATGGATTCTGTGCCAACGATGCTCGTCCATCCAGGAGGGATGTGGGCGCGTACGTTGAGCGCTCTTCCCCACGCAATGGGGACGATTAGAGTCTCTTGGGGCAAAGGAGAAGCAGGAAAGGACCCCCCCAAACTCACAGGAACTATGAATGAAGGTATCACAAACTCCAGCTCTCCAGGTTGGGGAGGGAAGGAGCCCGGTTCAGGGCCTGAGGGGAGACCCTCCCCTCCCTCTTCTGCCTCTGGGCCCCCTCCCCTTCCCCCCAGTCTCCCTGAGGAAGGTGGCCGCCCCCTCTGCCTGCCCGGGGGTCTCTACCTCCAGGGGATACGATTGCCGTGGGGTTTGGGGAACAGGGAGGGAGGTTGAAGGGAGGGACAGTTTCAGAGGAGCTACGCTGGCACCGCCTCCCA